ACGGAGAGACGACAGTTGGTGCAGTCGGAGCGCTGCAGTTAGTCCGAAGGTGTCCAACAAGTCCAGTTGGCGCCCTGAATGTCCGCTGACACCGTGGACACGTTGGGGACGGTTTGACGTTGGCGTTCTGAGGTGGGTGCAACTGATATTTGCGTGCTTCTCGTTTGGCTTTCGCGGCTGCGATGCGGTTTGCCTCGTGTATTGCTCTGCCTGTCTTCACTGTATTCCTCCAGGTCGGTAGGTCTCGGACGAGGTCTTTCCAGTTGGCCTGGTTGATCAACAGACGCCTTAGGGAGGTCATCAGAGTGTCCTTGTATTGACGATTTTGGCCTGGCGGCAGGAACCCGTCGAGACATCACGTTATCATCTTGGAGTTGACGTACCGTCTAAGAGAATTGCTCGGGACAGCCGAATTTCTGCATGATCTTCCATAGTCCTTCATGATTCGCCATGTCGAGGGGTTTCGTCAGATCAACGAAGGTAGAGTACAGATGAGTCCGCATCTTCTGGAGCTGCTGCTGAAGTTGGCGGGCGACGAAATCATGTCTGTGGTCCCGCGATAACGGCGGAAGTCGCACTAGTTTTCCGGCGGAAGATCCTGCCCTAGGTGATTATTCAGGTGGTTGAGGAGGATGCGAGCAAAAATTTCCCCATCGATGTTCAGCAGGGAGATGCCTCGGTGGTTGTCGTAGAGCTGGCGGTTTCCTGTCCATTTGTATAAATGCACGATTGTGGCGTCTTTGAAATACTGCGGGATTTCTCCTTAACGCCACATCTCCTGGAAGAGCGCAGTCAGGTGATCCACCAGTTGGAGACCTCCGTGCTTGTAGACCTCAGCAGGGATTGCGTCCGATCCGGGTGCTTTCCCGATGGAGAGCTTCTGCACGGCCCTGATGGTCTCCTGGAGAGATGGCGGGAGGTCAAGGTCCACGTTGGTCTTCACTTGCGGCAAACGCTCGATGGCGGCATCGGAGATGGTGGAGGGACGGTTGAGGACGCCTCGGAAGTGCCCTGCCCATCTCTGTAGAAACTGCGTCTTCTCAGTGAGTAGGATACTGCCGTCGGCGCTAAGAAGAGGTGTAGTTGCTTTAGTTGGCGGACCGTAGACAGCTCTGATTGCGGAGAAGAAATTCTTCCATTCGTTGCTGTCCGCGTACCCGTGGATCTCCTCGGCCTTGCTAGCCTTCCAGGTGTCCTGCATCTCGCGCAATCGCTGTTGAACGAGGCGGTGACTACGGCAGAAAGCAGCTCTGTTGTCGTCGATGGGGCGGTTGACGTAGGCTTTGTGCAGGCGGTTCTTCTCGGCGATCAAGTTACTGATGTCAAGGTCGTCGTCATAAAGTCAGTCCTTGTCCTGGCGACGTGCGCGTCGAGGACGGCCAGGGCTGTTGACTGGACTGTGTCCCGCAGTTAACACCATCGGCTCTCTACGGAGGCGTTCTCTTCAGCTGCGGCGGCATCAACGATTAGTAGATTGTCTAGCCGTTGAGCAAGCTTGTTGCTGAAATGGAGATGGCGAGTGGACAAAGGCAACAAGGCAATATGCAGCTTACCTGTCCTGTAACCAAAAAACATCGAACTTCCAAGAAACATCCTCGTTACTCATGTGACAAAAATGCGAGACACTTATCAAAGAAGAGCAGCGAACGCTAAAATGTCTAACAGCCGATAAAGTCATAATCATCCTACAAGCTGGCAAATGTCTTCCCACAATAGTGTTCAACAAGTCTGATTATCAGAACAAGGCTCATAGCCCACTCGAAGACAGACGGTCTTGTAGTCTATGTCGTGTCAGTGAGAGGGAAATCCTGGTTATACAAATAAACAGAAGTCTGGCAAAACGCAGAGACAATGGGCAATCACACCCAACGACTGTTCCTCTGTGAATGCCCACGAACTCCGCCACGGTTCGTTTTTACGGGGATACACAAAGCAAACCTACCGCCAGATGAACCCACGTTATACTTTAATTTCGTTTTATTCTTCACCTCCATTCCACAAGAGCAGGTACAAAACCCTGAAATCCGAATAACCGTTCGAGATTCTACGACACTGCCTTAAAGCCTATTTCACATTTGGTAGACATATATGTGAACAAATTAAAGACACTCCTATTTGACTACCTCCCCACCCCCTGCCAAGCCTGGTTACTGAAGTGGGTCTTTGCAAGATGGAACATTTGCTTTCGTAAAGTATCAACCAGGATTCTAAACTCGTTATGTCGGCAACGCTTTCGCCGCTGCCAAAACAACTCTCATGGAGCACCCTCAGTAATAACTGAATTCCCTTGGCTCGACTATCCACTTCATGATAAAAGCCAAGACAAACAATCGACTTGTCTTCTTCGACTTCCTTCTGCGCCGGTGGGCAACCGTAAACGACAGTATCTGAAAAGTAGCCGACGTACTGCGCTTCAACAGCAAGCACCCATTGTCTCACAAATGTAGCTGTATCCACACTCTATTCCAGAGCTGAATGATATTGCAGCACGCCAGCAGACAGGGCAGATGAACGTCTTTTGAGTCACTGGATAGCCAAGCCACCTTATCGAGCAAAGCAGACGCCGAACGAACAGATGATGGCTAGAGGAGCAGCAATCCTATGTCCGAAGGACCATTCCCCACCTTATAGGAGTCTCGGAGGCAGCTTCCCTACTTTTGCAATCCGGCAGAGTAGGCCTAGCCTGTCAACCCCCGAAAACAATTTTATGCCGCTTGATACAACCTAATAAAATGCTACCACCCACCAAAACCTCGACAGTTGTCTACAAAATAAGCTGCAGTGGCGAGGACTGCAATTAAGTTGAGAAAACCGGACGAAAATTGAAGACATGCCTACAGGAGCACAAACTGACAACTCGAAGACTAGACCAAAATCGTCAGCTTGCAACGCACACTGCACAGAAACCGACCTTTAGGGGGAGACCGTCATAGGCTGGAGCAGCTCAAAAGCAGAAAGACTCGCACCTGAGGCGTGGTATTCGGATGTCAACCCCATCAACAGGCATCTTGACCTTCCGGCGGCTTATAGAGTCATGCGTCATTACGTACACAAGGTCCAACAGAAGACGGCCACTCCGAACTTGAGAAAGCCGAGCCCCGCAGAGGCACAACCACCTGCTACTGAGGTGATGACTAAAACGCGCGCGGCTGTCAAGCCTGCCAGTCAACTGCCAAAAGGCTGGGGCTACGCGACCAAAAAAAATCGATCGACTCAAGGTCGACTAACCCTGTAGTTATTTGGATTTCTGTTCGATGTTCTGGATTTAGTGCTTTAACAATGGCGAGCTGATCATTCTCTCCGAAGCGTCAGCAGTGTAATAAATCCGTTCCGATGAACTTTTTATCTTTCCCTAGCACAGGTTCTTCGTCATCTACGACACCAATTGGCGCACAGGTGATGGCGCGGTCTGCCGGAAGCCTAGATCTCTGACAGCAAAACTTCAATCCGACACTGGCTTTTTTGCCCCATCCTATCGCATGCTGGGTGCGCACTGCCAGCCGGCCTGACCTCATTCCCAGACGAGAACGCGTTCTCGGTCAACCGCAAAAGGCTGCGCACTTATTACTGTCACGTTTCAGCCTCGGAAGATGGAGTGTCACACGAGTTCGATAGTCCCGACAAATAAAGGGGCTGTTCAGTCGGGGCGGTCCACTTCTTCCAGGCAAAAGCCTGTGACTTTCATAGTCATCTCAGCTCGTGAGAACAGGCCCATCAGAGAAGTGGCGTTCACTGCGGAATCTCCCTCATAAGCACTATAAATACGCCGTTTTTGCCGGCGTTCTTCCCAATCGCAAAAACGTACACCCCCAACAAGAGCTCCTTCCAGGAACGTAATGCGGGTTGCAGGAATATCGTAGGGGCACTGACGTGTTTTTCGCAGTGCGGCAAACGCATGAAAATGTCAAGAAATGAGAACCAGCCGACCTATAAAAAAGGCCTCCGGCACCATGAACCGCTCTAGTGTCAACATAATTCGGCAAAGGTCGGGTTTCAGAGGCGATTTGCGCGGATGGTCAGACAATGACGACAGGATGACGCAGTTAGTGCAAGAAACGGGGCTAAGAAAACGGGGGGGGGGGCAATTAGAGAATTGTGACATCCCAAAATATATCATCAAGAGTAATGGCAACCAGTTAACCCGAGCAATATTCTTGCAAGTATGCCAAGAAGGGGAATGAAACACTGATGGAGGCGGGTGTTCGAGTTCCGGGTGCATGTATGAGTAAGGAAGAATAAGGCTGGTTGAGCACCGGAGCAATCTGCTGATTATTCTCGTGCAGGAGTCCATCGTCAGAGATGGCAGAGGAGACAGAGCAAGCGTCAGTTATCGGGGGCATAAGCCAATCAATGACTGGTGTCACAGGTCTGGAGGTGACTGCGCAGGGCTCTGTAAACCTGTGCCAGATCGATACGCCGATCGGATGAGTTTTCATCCGAGGCCCAAGCTTCGATCAGTTCTCCGTTTGTCCTGCCTCCGGCGTGTGCGATTATTTTGACGGCTGTGAAGTTGAACTCATGAACCGTTTCGAAGGTATGGACAGCCACTTATGCCAATTTTGAGAGAAGGAGGGAGGAAATAAGCTTTATTTTGAAAATATCATTCCTAAACTTTCAGCATGGACGTCCTCTTTAACCGGTAGTCAGAATACAAATTAACAAACTGTGAGAAAGTAGACGAGCAGACATAAGACTGCGCAACCATTACGGGAAAGTATGTCTTGATTTCTGTATTTCGGCTACCTTACACGTTAGGTATCTTGCCACATAGGGTAATACTGAAAGCTGGTATGCTGATGTACGGCAAGAGATATGCCGGAATCTACTAAGCCTGGGGCGAAAATACTTAGAAGCCAGTGATTCGGAGCGAAGGGATGGGCAACTTCAATCGGAATTCAAGTAGCGAATTTCCTGACCGTAGTAAAATGTCGTTTTACTGAGATATCAGCTAAGGAGACATAAGAAACACCGACAGCGGAAGAGAGCATTCGGAGGACATGTTTCAAAATGAGCATGTCTTTTTTCAAGCAAGGCAGAAAAAAGCCGGCGAACAATAAAGAATGAAAGGAAGAATGAAGCATCTATACATCGACAAATTAAGGGTTTGATATGTGTTATAGGAACTTAAATGACAAATTTAATAAACGAGTTTACGAATATTAGTGAGGCGAGTGTCAGTATGAAGGAGAAATGAGGGATTCGAGGACAGAGTAACACCAAGGTGCCGGAAAGTTAATACTTAATTGGGAAGAATGCAGCAGAATTGAGAAATGAGAGAGGATTGCAGTCAAAAAACTCCCTAAACTGATTTCTGATCATTAAGCAGAAGACCATTTGAGTACAACCATGCAGTGACATGATCGAATTTGTTTTTCAAAAACCGGAGATGAGTCTGATTTTTAACAGGGTGGCCAACAACCATATCATCAACAGACTTAGCAACGCAAGACAACCCTTGTTCAGCCACAAGAGCAACAGGATCCATGGTACTACGTCTGGTTTTATATGCCAATTAGAGGAGAATGGCATAATGGCATCTAAGGCAACCCTTTCAGCGAGCTTCATTAATGCGCAGCAGCACTCAATTGGAAGGATTTTGCCGACCCGTCACATGGTCAACTTGTGTTTGTGTGTGCGCCATTCAAACATGCGCTCATTCAGATCTGTGTATATACATGAACGACTTGGGGCTCATAACCTCAAACCTCTTCGCAATGAATCTGTCCCTGATTTTCATGATCCTGGTTCTCATGGTATCTTTGGTATGGTGCACAATCCCGAGACCGCTTCATAAACAGACAGGATTTTCCACTCCCCCCCTCCCCCCCCCCCTGTTACTGCGCCCTACGCCCACGCGGCCAGGGGTCGCGGCCCACTTGCCTGTCAAGGACGCACACCGTCATCGGTGTGAGTTAGGTGGCGCCAACCGCTGTCCCTGGGCATCCTTATTGCTTGACTACAAAATTGTTCACTTATTGCCGCATTCTCATGGTCTTTGATGGTGGTCTCCCGTAGGAGTCTAAAAGCTCAGGCCAATACGCCTATTGTTCTACTAGTCGAGGTTTTTATCTTTGTAAAACCCATAATGCACCTACCCCACTTCTTCCAACCACATTCGGCCTTTTTAATATGCTGGGTAGCATGACTAGGAACGGAGTTGATGCAAGTATACTCTACATTTTGGAGGTACATTCTACACCA